GAACAAAAGATGCCGCTGAAGACGTGTCACCTGGAAAGGTCACTGTCGAAGAAGATACTCTACACGGTTTTGAGAAAGGAAACAGTGAAGCTCTTCATGAAGCTACTACCACTGATGTGACCATTACCGCTGATAGGACAATTCCTGATGGAGCAGATGAACCTCACGTGAAGCAGAAGCCAATACGGAAGAAGATACATCCCGTAAAATTAAGATATTTTGTTGAATTTTAATTTTCTGTTTGTAAGTTATGTACGTTTAATTAAGTTATTGTTTACTATCTATTGGTTTAATTTAAGTGGTTATTTTTCGGGACGAACAATACTAAAGAAGGGGCAGTGTTACGACAACGGGAGTCACGTGACACTAGTAACACGTAGTGATATTCTAGATCATGTCTGTTTCTGGCAACTCTAGTCTTCTCTTCGCGCTACTCTATTCTTGTATATATATGTTCGGCAAGAAGTGAGTATATAAATAATTGCAGACAGGCAGAGACAGAGACGGACAATTGAGTCAAGCGCGGTAATGACCGTACATAACTTGCGTGTATCGTTGTGAATTATAGCGTGTGTTTAAGTGAAAGTGACTGTGAAAATTAAGTGTATTGAGAAAGAATAAACTAGTTTTATTTAACAAAGAACTTGTATCGCCAAAAATTCACCCGAAAGAAATTATACGAGAAATTAACAAACGACCAGATACGTAACAGTACTAATGTCTTATGACAAGTATGATTAATTATAATCATGCTTCACCAGCTTAAAAAAGGGCGTTTTCACCATAACAAAAGAAAATGCTACTTGTGTAATTTTTGGTTTCACGAAACGTTCCATCACTACTTATTAACTTATTATATTTCTTTCTTTCTCTCTCTCTCTCTATCCGCCCCCCCCCCAGTGTTTGCGGATTTACAACACTAGAAACTGGATTTCGATACTCATGGTGGGCAGATCACAGATAGCCTATTATGTAGCTTTGTGCTTAACTACAAACAAACTCTCTGTGTCGAGATCATTTAGATTTTGCACTTCTTTGAAGTTTTTGATGTAAACTTTCCCCTTTCGCTTTTACTTTTTGAGTATTTTTTATTACATAAAATTATTTTTGTTGATAAGAACAGAGTTACACAATGGTACATATGTGCTCTGACTGCTGCAGTTATCTAAACCCGATTTTCAACGTTATCAGCCCACATACTTGTCGCTGAGTTATTAGAGCGATTTCTTCTGGTAGACCTTCTTTTTCAAGGATCTTATTCTATCTTTGCTAAATTTTCCACTCATAAAAATTTTAAAGTTGTTAGTACAGATTGTAAACAAAATAAAGAAAAAATAAATAAATAGTACTAAAATTATTTAAAATTAATTTTTGTTTTAAGTGTATTGATATAGTTTGGACTCATGCACGAAGAAACTAGTCCTATTGGATAACGTCCGATAATAAACTAAAAGTTCTAGTACTATTTCTAAGCGCCATTATGAAATTGTATTACTGATGGAAGTTGGTTGGATAAATTTTTGTTAACGTATTCACGACACGTTTTTAACCTTGGTGTATTCTGTAAAGAGTGTTTTATCGAGCACAGGTAATCGCTATTCGTTATAAGTTTCTGACATCGTTATGATTATTTTACATATTAGTAATACTAAGTAATAACGAACAAATTACAGTTATTATTATCTGGGTACGTTGAGAATAAAAGTTTATTTTTAATATGTAACGAACTTAAGCTAGGCTTATAACATACTGTTTACGAAGTGGTTATTTAGGACTAATAGTAATAGGAGTACCATTTGAAGTTAAGTTTAGAGAAAAACATAAATGTACAGAGATATTAGTTTTCGATAAGATAAAATACCGTTTAGGTAAACTGACACTGCGAAATCAACTTTAGTCTGTGGATAGTATATTACTAGTAGTAAAAATAATAACTTCGGTATTGTGGTATGGTAGTGCAAGTTGCAACGTCTTGTTTATTCACCCGCTGATTCAGTTTGGCAGTTTCATGGCCTATTTTTAAATTTGAGGAGAAATTATTTTGGCTTGCTTAAAATTTTTTCTACCTTAGGTTACGTTTACTTTTACACTTAGTTTATGTTTGATTGTGAGCACTTTAGGTGTACTTGTCGCGTTGAAAAAAGCTTGAACTTTCATTGTGAATTATAATGAAGGTAACTTAGTTGAACTTTGAAAATTGAAGTCTTCATAAAAATATTAAATCTACTTAGTTCCCAAGCTCCTAGGGTATGATAAATTACACTCTGTCAAAGTATCCACATCCTGTACAGTTTGTTACTGTTAGACTTGCACTAGCAGTTTATACAATGTAATGATTTTATGCAGTTTTGTTCTTGAGCCTTTGTTATGAAATGTTAAAATATGCAGAAGAAAATACAGACAGGCTTTTAAGTTTTAGCAGTTTCTTAGAAGTATATAATTTACAGGCTCTACAAATTGGAATATTTGAATATATTTTTTCTTTGAAACTATTTAATTTTAATTCTTGAGATTAAAATTGTTAAGACTATTTTTAAAACTTGGTTGTGTATGCAGAAACTTAGCTTAGTATGGACATAGTGTGAAAGTTAACCAGACCACTTGACTTGAGTGGCTTGGACAGTAAGAGCCTGGAGATATTAAATATTGGTATGTAATAGTAGAAGACTTCTAAAATGCATGATTGAAAAAGGAATTTCCATTGAAAATTATAAAGAAAAGAGAATAACAGCTTGTATTTTTCAGACATCTTACCTAATTAAAAGTAAGAATGGTGTACTATACATATATATTAAAAGTGTAATGATAGGTCTGGAATACCTAAAATACATTACAACTGTAGTAAAAGAATTTCATCTTTGTGTATCCCAAACTAATCATAAAAAAAAAAGCATAATGCAATTAATAAAAGTAACTTTGCTGTACCATGTAAAACTAGAATGATAGCTGTTATATATCAAATGACAGGCCTGGAATACTGAAATATATGAAAACTACAGGGGAGAAAAAGAATAACAGCTCACATCTTTTAAACCCTTTAACCAAATAATATTAGTAACACGTGCAAAGTATTTTTTTGAAATACATAATATAGGTAAATTAATATGTAAATTATGCATGAACATTTCTCTATGTTAAAATACTTTTATTTGTGAGTATCGGCCCTCTTACTAGAGCCTTCATTGGTATAAGGACAAAAAGCTTGCAAATACAAGTATTTGAATGTAAAGAAAAGTGTATAATTCTACACATGCAAAGTGATTAACCCTTTCCACACAGGTCAAAGGCCATGTCATCACATTTGTTGACTAGCATGCAAAATTTTATTGAACTACTATTTCATGAATTTATGTCAATAAGTTTGGTATCAATTCAAGTTTTAGTATTATACATTATTTAATTTCTGAATTTAAAAGTAAATATTAAAAAAATACACCTAAACATCAATTTTTGTGTGTCACGTGGTATGTTGAATTCAGCACTGGTTCACACTAGATGTTTATGATGTCAAAATACAAAGTCTGTAGTTTTGTACAAATTAGGAACTCAAATTACTGACATTATTAAGCTAGAATATAAAATACGAACCTCCTCTCTTTTCTATTTGCTTAGATATCGCTCCTGTACTGAATCAAACACAGTGGCCCCACTCACCTCTTTCCATTTTTGGAAATGCTCCTTTATATACACTTAATTCTGACTATGATATGTGAATAACCAATTGTAAGCTCAGAATGTCCCCTACTGTCCTTCTCAGCCATTTTCAAGTATTGTGACATCTTATTCCTTGAATAGAAATCTTGCTGGTAAGGTGTCTTTAGTCTGCTCAAAATTTCATATTTTTGTAGACCCAAATACAACTTAATTGCTAAGCTTGATGAATTATAGTGCAATTCTACGGTATTGAAATAGTAATTTATGATTTTTTGGGTTATTTTAAATGGATATATATAAAACCTTTAAAAAATATTTTGTTTCATGTCCTCCATGTGTGAAATTTTATAAGGCTTAGCAATCTATATCAAGCAGCAAACAAGGTCATAATTAGAAGGGATAATTGTTTGCTTTACTTCTTTATTTACTGTTCTATGTTTTAAGAAAAATAAGTTTAAAACTTATTTGTAAATAGTATTAATGTATATACATATATAATGTATAATAATTGAAATGTGACTATTTTTACAAAATACTAGTCTACTAAAACACACCTAAGATAGGTCACTTTGTAAAGACTAAAGGTCAGTTATATATTATTGAATATGGTAACATGAATACACCTGTGCTGCATCATTGTAACTTCTGTATTGTTAGCCGGGCACAGCTGAAAGGTTATAATGAAAATAATAAATGTATGTTATGAGATTTAAGCTATTCAGTCTAAACATTTTTGTTTTTGTGTTATAACTTGTAGTCATTCTGATATGAAAAATGCATATTTTATATTTATTTCCAATTTTTATTTGTGGTTGCGAGATCAATCAAATCAACCAAACCCATACAGAGATTTTTATTAAGACTTAATAAAAAAAATACTGATATTTTGCATATGAAAGCCTTGTAATGTTTACTGACAGTATGCAAAATTTCATGAAGATACTCTTACTATTTTAAAATTTATAGCATGAAAACTATAAGAAGCACAAAATGGTTACGAGGTCAGTCCCAGGAACTGAACCAATGCTGAAAAGAGTTAACTCATATCTGTGTCCATTAATCACTTTAAATTCATTCAACATTATGTACAATTCACAATCGTATGAATTGATTTGTAATACAGCATCTGAACACAAAATATTTGGAAAGCCAAACTAGCTGTTTAATAGCAGACAGCAACTATAGGCAATAATGTGATTATAAGTTTTTAGAATCAACAAGGAATACTTTAAATTACATGCAGAAAAAATAACACTAAGGCATAAATGATACCCATAACCTAACACTCCAATATTGAGTAGGATTATTATGTAGTTAAGAGCTACATCCCCTTCAAGAAAAGCATAAAAATATATCAGGATAACCAGTTGCAACATATTTTTAGACGTGCTAAAACCTGATGGTTTGCTTATCATTGTAAATGACTGCAGAAATTGTATTGTCAATCATTGCTGAATTAAGCCATTTGCATGTGTTTAATGTTCTTATGTCATCATCTTGATTAAGGCTCTTTTATGCTTTATTTCAATTTTAGGCATGCCCCATAGAATGTTTTGAAAGTGTATTTTCATCTTTGTCACTGAAACTTGAGCATCGCACCAGATAGCTAGTATATATGTGTAAAATATGCATACTTTTTTGAGAGAGATGTGTCACTTTTTATTTTACACAAGTTACAGGTGTATTATCACCAATACATTACAGGATAAACTTGCATGCTTATAGATTGCACACTATGTAAATGGCTAATTTTCAACATGTTTAGTCAGTTTTAGACAATAAATAAGTGATTTTTTTATAAAGTAAATAGAGCTTGCCTTTGCTTCTAATGAGTAATTTAACAAAGATAGTGACAAGCCAATTTAGTGATCAAATAAAAGGGTAACTGATTGCTTATTACTATTTTAAGTTGTGTAGTTGATATTGTTGAGTCTTGTGTATGTTTACTGATGTTACTCACAAATGGCAGCACATAGGGATGGTTGGCAGCCATTTTAAGACTAGGGAAGATCTGTCAATTGTTACAGTAAAGAGAAAATTTTATTTCCTCATTTAACAATAGTAAAGGTTTAGTCGATTTTTGTAATGAAAGAGTTAAAAAGAAAGCAAAGCACAGCTGGAAGCGTAATGATACATTGAACTATCAATAGATTGCAATTATGAACATCTCAATAACAATGCATCAATGGTAATATAACAGTCACTGATATTACCCTTAACTATTGATGTTGTGACAGTTTGCAAACTTGATTATTTTCCCCATTCTGTTTGTTTTAGACTGGTTTCATTGTCCGTAAGTCTAAAAGTCCATATATCGCATCTGCCATTAGCATTCTTGCAGTGAACCGAGCCCATATTGGAAGATTAAAGATTGCTATCATTTTGGCAGGTATGACACCTGCTCTGAAAAGAACAAAATGTGTTTATAATTTTATTTTACCTCAATGAAGAGGAATGTAAGAACGACACATGTTGAGTAGACTAATTTGTAATTATATGGTAAATGGCATGCTGAAAGATCTTTACAACCTAACTGGTCTGAATACAAGCCATATGTGCAAAGTTATTCAACAAAGACTGCTCAAATATGACCAAATTTATGCACATGCTTATACAAAAAGTCACGTGAGCTATCATTCTTAACATTTTTATTACAGTTTCACCTAAGAGTAAAAGTGGGTCATTTTTAGTTTTTGACATTCAGATTTATAGCATTGATAAGAATTTTCCAGCAAATATTTATTCATTAGTTAGCTAGGCTATGTCCCAAGTTGAACTGGCTAACTAATGAATGAATATTTGCTGTAAAATTCTTATCGATGCTATAAGTAACTACAAGTTTTGCTGCCAGTTTTGATTTCATTCCTTTGAGTTGCATGGTTAATCCTTTTTTGGTTGCACTTTTTTCTCACACCTAAGGTGTTTTTCATTGAT